TTTGAAAGCCTGCTTTTCCTTTAAGTTGCCCGAACCAATTGGATAGCCATTACTGTTAGTGTATCGTGTGTTTCGTGCGATGATGTTTGGCTGATTAGAAACCGGAAGCCCCTGTGCCTGGCGTCGACGATAACGTATGACTAAGAAGCCAAGGACTAAGAATAAAACCAAGGAAATGATGCCGGCGGTTACGCCTCCTAGTATCGTGGCTTTGTCTGTGTTACCGTCCTTCGGGGCTGAACCGGTTTGTGTAGGCTCAATCCCGGTCGGACTCGCTGCGGAGCTGACATAAAGAGAAACAGATGGTGGAAGAACGAAGTGAGGCGTATACGTATCAGTAGGTTTTCTGAATCTCGGTTCAATAAACATATCACTCACGTTATTGGTGGCTGAGTAGTGCCAGTGGTTGAATCGGAGACCGTGGTACCTGGAGTAGTTCTTGGATTGACCTCAAAGATTCTTGGCGATATGGGTGTGATTGGTTCTCTGTAATCAATATGATGATAGAGAAATTGTAAGTCAACTCTCGCAGATCTGGAAACAGTATATCTTACCTTTCGTCCTTGTCCTCGTCTGTATTTATTGCCACTAATTCAAGACGACTAGTCGATTGAATGAGAAAAATCCAAACTCTCGACACTTGTTATGGGACGCTTACCCTGTCAAAGTCGGGGTGTAGATGAGGGATCCACTGTCACCTTCATCGCCTATTGTGATCGTGAGGGTTTCTTTGGCATCCGGCTCCGATTTCTCTGGCATAAGCTGTGTAGGTACCAGATTGTCGCCTCGGTTCTTATCATCGCTCCCGTCCTTATCCCCGCCCCACGTCCACCAGATCGTAGCCGCTTGTGAAACGGTAAAGGCCTCAGGCCATGGTCCCTCAATTTGAAATCTGTGTGCTTCGACGAGAGAGACAATAATGCCCTGAATATAGACGAGTGACTGGTGGCTAGAGAGTTTCATCTGTTTAGGTTGTAGTAGTGGGTTGTTGGGGGAGTTCTTGGTGTGGATAGAGCGAACCTGATGCAGAACGAAGATATTAAAGCAATAGACTGTTTGTAGCGGGAGGATTCACCTCATTTCGAGATCAAAACATAATCTACAAATGAGGCATAGCTTCATTCATAACAACCCCCATTCGCAGCTTCCCGGTTTATGCCATCTGATATGGTATGCATCGTATTATGGATGTCCAGACATTGTGATGAAGTGCTTAGGTGATGAACGTTTCCCAGTTACAGGGTGAGCCAGGAGCGCAAATATTCCCCATGATGTGGTGAAAGAACCATGGCACTGGCTACAGGTTCATGTTGTGCGATGCTGATATTAGCAAACATATGATGGACAGCTTGCGCAACACGGCCGAGGCCATGGCTCAAGAATAGGGGTCTTCCTCGAGCTCCTCCCCGGCTTGTGGGCGCGACGTCATTTCACAGCCATGGCCATGTTGCGCAAGGTGTCTAATTCAGCATAACTATACCTTTGGGCATCGATCAAAGCTGAGTGCTGAATGTGAACGGATGTGCAATTGAAGAAAACCCTGCATCCCTGAAAGCAACACCCAGAGGTAGACTGAGGAACCTCTTAATCTGCTACACTTGGATTGTCAGGTGAGATGGTTCTTTAGCCTCGTGTTAGTTTGGCTATACATCACCGTCAGTTGATGGTTTGTTGATAATTATACCATAATTGAGCCAGCTACAATAACAGAGCTCACATTCAGTGTACGACAGAGACATCGGTGCTTCGTAGTATAGTAGTTTTGCCTAGCCAGGCGGTAAACCACACAACCACGAATTCTTTCGTTAAATCTAAAGTTGCATACAGATTCATGATCAATATTTCGATTCTTCCTTCGAATAAGTGCCAACTCAAGATTCAATATAGTGCAACAGGGAGAGACTACTAAGTATACCAAGATTAGTTTCTCGAATTTAGCTCTTCAGTCCCGTGGTAGTGGCCCGGCTGTTATATTAGATTTGATAGCTGGTAATGATATGCAAGAGTCGGCTACAACATCAGGGTCCAAACCCAGTACATTTCGGATGTCAGGAATCTGTGGAGACTAATGTGGTCCTACCAGTGAAGCATAATCCGGCGGCGCTGCTCTCTCCATATCATTTCCCTCCGACGTTTCTAGTTTCCGCGCCACACTGCTCGACTACACCTGAATCTTAGCCTGTAGCCGCTCTGGCATGCCCAGGCTAGAATATTGAAGAGCTGCCGGCTGACTTTTGCGAGAATGTAGGACGGTGGGGTAGAATCAACTCGATAAGGAAGCGGCGTGACCACCGTCCCTTTTGGCTTCCTTGTACGATCATCTTGAGATTAATAGCAGTTACAAGTTAATCAAGGCTAAATGCGACTTACTCCGTTTCGAGGTTCGTGTCTTGCGTCTGCGAAATCGCAGGGGCGGCGCACGATGCAGTAGGAAAGACATTCACCTGGTTTTCTGTTAATGTCGAACGAGGGGGCTTTCTCGCCGTGGCGCTCGAGGATAAGATCCTTTGGAAAGAAGATACATATTGTTTCGGAGGTGGCCGAGTAGTGACAGCAGGCCAAGACATCAAGCCGTCTCTGGAAACAAGATTGTTCCTTATAGATATATTTCGGAGCTACCGTCTCGGGTCATCCAAGTCTGGACCCTAAGTACTCGAAATTCAAATTAATTGCGGACTCATGGACAGACTGGAAAATGAGTCGGTAGGAGGAGGATTTCTTGGTTACAAACTGAGACTGGAGCGCATAAACATGATCGTTATCTCCATAAACGTGGTGGTGTTGACATGTAATCGACTTTTAAGTTCGATTAGTCGGCGATGGTCGGGCGATTTCCATTATCGTTAGCCTTCTCACGGCCCTGATGACCGTGGGGACCGTGGGGAAAGACTGTTGGCATACGAGACTGCTCGGTGCGACGATCCCAACTCTTGTAACATTCCTGGCATTGATCTACGTCCATCAGGCGACGTTACGTTGGATAGAAACCGTCGTGCTCGAAAATGAGGAACTATGCGTTAGCAAAGACCCGTAGTCTGGCGTGGAACTTGAGGCAACGACTACGCCGACTACGATTGAGGAGCGGCGATCACGCCTCGCCTCGCTGCTCGTACTCGTTTCTGCGCACACCGCCGGAGATTGATTTCTATAAACTGATTTCTATGGCTCTCCGCACCGATACTGTCAAAAGGTGATATCTCCCAATACCGATCACGATCTCCGAAGAAAGCAAAGTTCTGGAAACATCAATAAGTCCCTGGGATACAGTTTTCGAATCTCTCTTCGAATGACAGGTGCATCTGAGTATTACTCGCGATCGGGAGAGGACCTTTGTTCCGACTCGACTGGTCTCGCGTATGAAAAACCAGCGTGGAATCTCATCACTCTAGGACGTTTGCAACTAAAATCCGAACTATCTTTGAGCCGAACTACTATCAATACGCCCGAGAAACATAATCAGGCGGTGCTGATCTCTCACCCTCCGCTTCTAACGTTTCCAGTCGTCGCATCATGTTGGCCAATTGTGCCTGTACGTGAGCTGGTAGCTCGGTTATTACCGAGATGGAGTTTGGCAACTGCATACGTCGCTGATCTTGGTCCGCTGGTCGAGTTTTATAGGTGGTGGACCGGGATATTGCAGGTGGGGTGGATTGATAGGGCAACGGTGTGATCACAAGTTCTGGTAGCTCGTCTGCGCCTGTAATTATTAGAATCTGTTGAATTGTAGTGAAATGGGACCCACCTCTCTTGAAGATCCGTACGTTATGTTTTCGGAGACGTAGGGATAAAAATATCAAAGCAGGTACTAGACCAAAAAGAAATACAATTGCCCCGACAACGCTCCCAGCGATGGCCCCCGTTGAGGTTCTTCGTGACGTCAAAGGTGACGAGGTTGGGACGAAATTCGGTGGGGCGGTCATACTGACAAAAGAGCTGCGAAATCGGGATACAAACGGGAGTAGGTTGCGCTGATGCTAAGAGGTAGAGACCCATATACAACTTACGTGGTCACACTTGGCAGGGAAACTGTGAAGTCAATGTGTGGGTGGGGTGTGACTGTCTCCCTGTGTAAGGATGGTGATTTTGTGGTTATCAGTAAGCTTCTTCGCTCTGGGGAGCATGAGCCCTACGTGTCATCGCGGAATGTTTCGATAGCTAATATCTCGAAATGACTTGTATGTAAGTTGACCAAGGTTGAGTAAGTTTCTCTCAATTTTTCATAGGACACTCACCCAGGTAAGGGCGGGGTAAGAGTGAAATGACCATCCACTTGGTCGAATTTTATACTTGCAAGTGGTATTTCGACTCTGACACCCGAGGTCTGTGGGACTTGAAACAGCCTGAGCTCGATATTTTCATAATCATCCCATTGCGTCCATTGTAGGGTGGTCGGTTGTGAAACAGTCAGGGCTTCTCCGGACGGTATTCCGACGATTCGAAGCCCGGTCACTCTGAGAGTGATAAGAATTCCCTGAAGGAAAACGGTGAGTAGCCAATGGTTACAGAGATTCATTTGTTATGTGATCCAGTAGTGCGTTGTCGGGGGTGTTCAACAAGTTGTTGGGGTGAGGCCGAGATGCATAATGAACATATTCAAGCTGAAGGTAATAAGGTGGGGTGGTAGCGTGGGCCGAGTCGCCTCATCTCATCTTGAGACCAAGATTCATCCAACATTGATATGTGGCACTTTGCCACTACTATCTCGCATCCTCAAACACACCTGTGGATTTTGATTAGAATTCAGCACCGTGCACAGGCGCGGGGGAGCACAGACGGAAGCGTTCGTGGTATCCAGAGTGAGGTGAGAACGCAGGAACCTTTCGCTATTTTTGGGGGTGCCGTGGAGGTAATTGCAACCGGCATTGAGGCAGGATGGTCGGTCCACCTGCGTTGTCATCGTCTCTCCATACGCGACTCTGATGATGGTAGGCAAAGATGCCCTTCACACTGAGTTCCGCAACGCTCAGTCCTTCGTGGATGGCCGGGGCATTCAATCTAATGGGTCCATGGTCTAGTGGTACGATTCTCCCTTCGGGCAACGCCCGCAGCGTGACGCTGTGAAATTGGGAGAGGTCCTGGGTTCGATCCCCGGTGGACCCCATCTAAACGTTTTGATCTTGCTTACCCGGATCCCGGCTTACCACGTTCACCGCCTGAGCCTGAGCCGAGGTTGCCTTTTGACCGTCGTCATCACCCCGAACAGCATCTGTGTTCTTATCTGGGCGCATCCTTTAGTTACTATCAATCTCCATGGCCTCGTTGTCTTGACAAACCGGCGACTTTATTTTGCTCTCTGTTGGATAAGAAGAAAACCCTCTCAATCTGACCTGATTGATAGACATACATCCATTTCAATGGCAGGGAAGAATCGCAGCGAGCTCAATCACGAATTCAGCGCCATCATTGAAGGTCGAAGGCCGATGTACAGCCAAGATGGACTAAACTGGATTGCATCAAGACGCGGTCTGGCAGGTGCCTTTTTCGTTGTCAAAATTTTCTTATGCTTACTACCTGCTTCGTCTAGCAGCAAGGCGCCAGCGATAAAGAGAGGGAAAAACGCACTACGCTCATAGAGTTCTAAGATGGCAGTGCCTCAGTGGCCTGTTGTGCTTTGTGGGATCCATCACTCACGCTTTCCTGTGCAGACTCGATATTGCTATTTATTCCGCGAGGGACGGCTGTGTGGAGCAGACGAGTTGAAGATGAGAACGATAGTGAATAATGACACAAGGAAGAGATAAGGGTACAGCGTATGTGGCCCATCGCGTCCAACCGAGGTGCGTTCCTAATCATCTATGATATTCCCTTTCGTTCCAACCTCGACCGTTCTGTCAGTGATCGGAAGTGTAATAACGCCGAGAAAAATCTCATCAGAGGGCGTAGAGGAAGCTCCGAGTGTCAAGGTAGAACCGTCAGTTCAATCAAAGTCTGCAAACCAGGACAAGCCATGCACTTCTTTTCTTCGATGTCGTTGCATGGGGTCGCGTCGATTACCACCTTCATCGAGATGGGTGGAGAACTTCATTGTCAGGGATCCCTATCGACGAAAAAAAGAGAGGTCATGGAAGACCTGGTAAACGGAAATCACGACCCCTCCCTTCCTCGACTGTATTCTAGGTTTGTTACGTGCTAAAAGCTCTTAGCATGCGTTATATCGACTCTGCGTTTCAGAACCTTGGAAGTATGAGATAATGGCCACCCGCGGCACGTCTGATCGGAGGGTTTACAGGGGAGTGGCGCAGAGCCACTGGTACTGAAGGCTAGATTTGCTATGGTGGGGAGGTACGTCAGTTTGAACTTCTCGTCGTTTCTATCATGATTTTGCCTTTCTCCCGATGATGAGACGAACACATGGCTCACCTAAGAACACGAAAAGGCCCGATTGAACATCATCACTACTAGATTCTAGGATCGCTACTACGAATCGTCCAACGGAAGAGCAGTTACGACGCACTAGCCTTACCCCCGCAAATTCCTCCAAGCTCTCTCACCTCGCCTTCTCTTTACCGATCGAAAGAAGACGGCAATACACAATCCTTCAACCGAGGTCGGTGTTCGAGAATCAGGGAGAAGACAGGCAAACTTTGTCTTTTCTAATTACCCCAGGTGACGACGCCCGTTGAGACGAAGAGATAGTTGGTTAGTATTCCAGTGAGGGAATTGCTTCTTGCTCATGCTGCGTTGTACGTGCTGATTTATGTTCGGCGATAGTAAACACGACTCAAGCCACTATTCAGGACTTTCTATTTTTTTTCAGACCAAGAGCCGATCCGATTGTAAATCGATGTGATGACGTATCAGTGTCGCCGGTTTAGCTTAGTGGTAGAGCGTTGCACTTGTACTCATGTATCGGATTTGGTACAATGCAAAGGTCGGTTGTTCAATCCAGCCAACCGGCAGTTACACTTGCGATCCACAGGATGTCACAATTTTATTACTTCTCGAACTTCGGTCGGTATAAGACATCGAAGAAGAGCCTCTGGAGGGTCCTCCGTATCAACAATATTTTTGGGGACTCATAATGGTAGACAGCAATATGAAGACACGCTCAGATTGAGGTAAGTCCCCGCATCTTTTGCGGCTCGCTCAATCTTGGTAAGGGATCTTACGAGGCCGGTCAGGTATAATCTTACTGAACTGTCTAATCCTGAGGCTTACCATTTCGCAGCATATGCTGTGCTAACGGAAAGTGATGTTGGATCGCTCGTTCTCTGCCGGCTACTGACTACATTTCCCTACTTAAAGGGCTTGAGAATCGGAGGGACCAGTCGAGTCCACACAGACTCGTCTGAAATTTTGTTTCTGATATGACGTTCGAGGTGCTTTTTCGAAGCGAACGGACTAGTCTTTCGCGTCGTCTCTCCTGTCAACCCCAGAAAGTACCTAGTCTCATGTCAAGATGGCATTGTCTTTGCGTGCAGTATGACTTCGAAATGTCACAATCTGCATGTCAGCTATGTTCCAGAAGATCTCGTCTTCGCGGTATCATTATTAGGCACAATCAAAGGGGCCGATCCCGAGGAGCTCTACGTCGTTGCCTGAGCACCAACTTCAAGTTGAGCCTTCTTATGACTTGAATGACCTCGTTTCACTCGGAGGTTTAGTCCCGTTCGATAGCAGCCGCGTTCTATGAGCCAGAACTCGTACGAAGAGCTCCAGAAACTGGCATAGTACCGAGTTGACTGTTGCTCTTTTTCTGCGTACCACCTCTGAGTCATTTTGATGGATCGTCGCGTGGTATTACGCTGAATCCACACTTGCCAGACCGGTGTGTCTGAAGCCGACTGTTATCATTCTGTCAACAGTATCACTGAGTCCTTTGTGTGAGTCATGAATAAAACAATATGATAGCTAAAAATTCGCTGAGAGGTAGCATGAAGCTGTTCATTGTAGATTGTAACATTGCGCCTGGTAGAAACTGCCTATTAGTATATCGTCTCTACCACTCGAGTCCAAGTCAAACATTGTCCACAACAGCCAAAGATAGCCAGATACTATAATCCAGCTGTACGTGAAACACGATAGGGCGGTGGTGTTCTGCCGTTGTCAGCTTCCAATGTTGTCAACCTGTGCATCACACTTTCTAGTTGTGTCTGGATGTTGAATGAGATCTCGGTACTACCTGCACCCGGAGTCTCAGAACGGGAGGAGTGCTGCCGCTGGTGACTTTGAGCTATCAAGTGTTGACCCTTGCGAGAGACGGGAAGTGTGGCCGGGACCGACAGGGAGTTATGAGAATAAGGCAGCGGTGTGATTACCGCTTCTAGTGGTTTTTCTGTGCTCAGAAGGCGAATGAACTTCCATCAAAACTCAAAGCGAAAGATTTACATACTTCGATTGAAGAATTGTATCCTCGAGTTGCGCTTCCGGAGTCGCAAGTATAAAATCACCAATAGGAGTACGAACGCAATTGCGCCGACGACGCTCCCGGCGATAATTCCTTTGGATGGCTTCTTCAATGCCGACGATACCGTGGAAGGATGGATGGATGGCCGATGCGAGTACAAAGACGTGGCCGAGCTAATCCGTTGGCGGTTCATTCATGGCGGTTAGTTACGATCCGTGTTCTTCGAGCAAAAGCCGCGATTCACCGAGATTCAATATACATCCCGGACGTCGAAGTAAGGGTGAAACTAGTGCTGTTGCTCGTTGCGGGAGTGTTTATGGAAGTTTGAGCAGGAGCCTCCGCCGTTGAGATACTAGTAGTGACTACTTGGGTACTCACAGCGTTTCCTCTAAATGACCCAGCGGTGAGAACGGCTTGTTGAAAAACCATCAGCACAGAATTCAAGACCACCCACTGAGTACTAGTTTGGTGAATCTCCGTTTTCTTCTCAGTGCTCTCGCTTCGGGAAAGGCTACCACCCCCTCCACCTCCGCCTCCACCTCCACTTCCTCCACCTTCTCCGCTCCCTCCCCCGCCGCCGCCTCCTCCGCCACCTCCTCCGCCACCTCCGCCGCCGCCGCCTCCCCCTCCTCCTGATTCGCTTCTGCTCTGTGGCCTATGAGAGCATCTTTCTTAAGATCATAAGTGAGCTTACCGCCAAAAGGCCAGAGCACGCAGAATGGGTCTTTGGAACCGTACTAGGTACCCCAAGGCTATCAATGAGTCAGTGTCACAAATTAACAGGCAACGATACTCACGTCTCAGACATTAACATTGGGAAAGAGTGTGGGATTGCGTGGGAAAGGAAATCACAGTCAAAGGTACCCGGTCAACAGGTACCTTCACTTCTTGCCGAGCGTACAAACTTCGAAGAAGACTGAAAAGGAGTTGGCGAGTTTATATGTGTAGATCTTCACACTTTGATCGGAGGAGATGCCTTCTCGTTCTGACTCCGGTTATGTCGAACAGGTGTATGCTCTTGTTTACCGTTGAATGGTCCGAAGCGTCGCAAGGGTGCATGTTGTAGAAAATGACACCAGAGACGGTGAGGAATGATAGCGAACTAGACTCATGAAAGGTGCCCTTGTTGGGCCTCGAGCGCAAACGTCCATATAGCTAGAGTCGCGATCATGAGTCATCAGACCTCCATGATCGACAATGTGCCCTCAAGCAGCATGTCATTCAAGTTGTAAAGGTTTGGCAGTCACTTCAATCTGAGTGATCTCGGGCCGTTCAACCTCATTGTCTCCTGAGTCCTGGCCCACTTATTCTCTCCTTTGAAGGGCTTGAGAACTAGAAGCTATAGATCCTCAGAAGAAATATCCCAACTTTAACGCGTGAGATATCCTGCTAACAGGAAATCTCGTCTGGACATGTGTTTCAGAGGTAAACAGGCTTATTCGAAGTGTTCCGATACCTTGAGAATGCACGGTAATTTCTCGTGTTAAATTCGGAGAATACCCAGCATCGTATCGTGATGTAAGCCTGGAGTGTGGTTACCAGGACTGTCTGCAAGGCTACCAAGTTTCTAGAAGTATCACATCGTCGCGATATCATGATAGATACAAACAACGGGGCTGATTCGGAATCCTACGGTTTCTGAGCACGAGTTTGAGCCTTTTTTATACTCAGGTATGACCTCGCCTGATTTACAGTTTGAAGGGCGTAACATGAGGATAAGGACGCGTATCAAGAATTCCAGATACCGAGTCAGAGGCACTTGATGAATCTTAGTTTACAGCCTCCGAATTCAAACTTCACAACACGGTGTATCTGAAGCTGTTTGCTATCATTCTAGCTACGGTGTGATCTTTGATCGAGTTCTCCAAATCCCAATTCGACGATTCATACACTGGTAGAGAGTTAGCGTGCAGCTACAGCTACTTATCTAATAACAATCAAAGGGAGTTGTTTATTGTGATCAAGCTGTACGTGAGACATATTCAGGGGGCGCCCTTCTGCCATCATCGGCTTCTAACGTTGCCAATCTCTGCATCACACTCTCCAGCTGTACCTGAATGTTGGACGGGACCTCCGTGCTTGCACTTGAAGATTCCGTAGTTGAGGGCCGCTGTTGTTGCTCGCGACTTTGGACCATCTCGGGTTGGCTCTTTCGAGACACAGAAGCTTGGGCCGGCACTGACAAGGAGCTTTGAGAATAGGGTAGCGGTGTTATTACTGTATGTAGCCTTGGCTCTTCTGCTTATGGAAGGTAAATGGAACTGTTATGGTGGCTCACAAATGAAAACCCCCTTACGTCGTCTGAAGAATCGGATATTGAGGTTGCGCTGCCGGTAACGTAGGAATAAAAATACCAGAAAAAGTAAAAAGGCCATCAACGCAATTGATCCGACGATGATCCCAGTGATGACTGCTTTCGTAGGTTGAGAAGACTGCGGAGAAGAAGGTAGGGAAGAGGGCTGGTCGGGGGATGACGGAGATGAAAGCAGGGAAGAAACCTCCAATGCTGTTGAGCTCGTACTAGTATTGATGTGGAGAGACGCTGTATTTTCCGGCCTACAAACCAAAGCAGTGAGCACAACTTGCTTGTGTATGTGGGCGCAGAAACATTCACGGAGGGCTAGTCATATAAGTCTCCGTCTCGTTCTCGCTACTGCTTCTATCACAATGTTTTTCTCCTGACGACCCGGCGACGACATTCACTACGAAAGCATTAGTAATGGGCATACAAACCCGATTGCGAGTTGAGATTGAAGTTTTACAGCGGACAAGACTTGCTTTGAAGAAACTGAAGATGATTTTGCCCTCGATAGAGTGAAAGAGCTTGTAAAGTCGGACTTTTGTACCGTGCTATTTCAAAGCCACAGATAAGTCGATGTCACAACTGGAGAGGCAGTGCATTAAGACTCACATTTCAGCCTTGGTCATCGAAGGAAATGGAGTTAAAGTCAAAAGATACCTTTGTTTCTGCGGACCGGAAGAATGAGACTGAGAGGAATGGGGCATCTTTATATGTATGGATACGAAAGGCTCTCTCCTCGCATCTTTTGGAGATATATTCTCACCTTGCCTCCGGTTGTGTGCGACGAGTACTATACTCATACCTTCGATCAAACGGTCCGAAGCTTTCGGAGTATTCAATCGGTAAGAAACTGCCTCAGACGTGGATAGCTATCATGGTCAATTTGATCAACGTCGGGCCTCAAATATCCGTATTACTAGCTACAATCATCAGACCTCTATGATCAACATTGCGATTCCAAGGAGCACATGAAACAAGTGATGGAAACTATCGGTCATTCGGCCGCAGAATGTGGGCTGACTCGAGCTTGGTGATACCAGACAAGTACAGTGTACTTATACTTAGTTGTTGCAGAAGTGTTTCTATACAAACACTGAGATCTATCGAGAGGGCGACTAATAAGAGCAACCACAACAGAACGGCGGGACAGTCGACAAGCGTCTCGCACTGGTATTGTAAGCAGGACCAAGACACGGAGTCACTAGTCAGCCCTTGCCGAGCTTCGATAGCGCTGTAAAGAGTCAAGCTAG